AGATGTACATTTATACAGTGGAATATGACTCCACCATAAAAAGAATGAAATCTTGCCATTTGTGACAACATGGATGAACCTAGAAAACATTATACTAGGTGAAATAAATCATACAGAGAAGACACATCCCTTCACCTTATCTGCTTGCATGTTGTCACCCAGAATTCTCTGCATTGGGGAGAACTGTAGGAAGAAGTGCTGACTTTGGAGGGTGTCAAACTAAAACAAACCAAAAGCAGCTCTGCCCATTTCTCAAACCTAGTCTGAACATTTCTCTCTCCGACCATAGTATTGTTATTGCCGGAGTTAGCTGGTTAATACTAATAAAGGGGAAAAGCAAAGGGGAGGCCAGACACTATAAGCATGGTCACCTGGGAACCACAAGTCGGGGAGGGGTTTGCAGGGAGGGGACTTGGCTGTCAGTCTAGCCTGGGGAACAATGGGTTGGCTAGGAGGTGACCCCATCAGAAGCATGTGAAATCCTGAAGAGTTAATTGGTTTGAAGAAGCTACTGGTTAAAACCCCAGACAAAGAGTTCCCTCTCTCTTGTTCGCTCTTGTTCTCTTTCTCTCTTGCTCTGTGACCTGCACTTGGCCGTGTGCTCCCTGTAAGGGTTCGGGGCACAGGAGACAAAGTCAGAGAGTTCAAGAGCCAGGCAAATCACAGGTGGCACTTTAATCTGCACCCCTGGGCGAGGTACACGGACCCCAAAGAGCGGGGCCAGTGAAGTCGCTCCGAGAAGGAGTGGAGGCATTTTTTATACAGCTGTGCAGTGAGAGCTGGGGAGCATGAGCTGTGGGAGTTTTCGCTGTGGGTCCCTCACGGCGAAGGAAGGAGCCAGCATCAGTGTCGCCATCTATCTGGTGCACTTGAAAGGGCGAGGGCCACGCCCTCCATCTTGCCCCGAATCTGCCATGTTGGGGCAGCAGCCATGTGTTCAGGAAAGCACCTTCTTCCCAGAAGCCCAAGATTCTGCTAGCCACGCCCAGGATTTTTTAAACTAACCAATGACAACCAAGGGACGTGTGCGCCATAGATGTGACCACATCCTGTGTAACAAGACCCGACTTGCACCTGGCCAACCGGCAGGCCCACAGTCATCTCCCCTCCCCTCACTCCACCCCCCTATTAAAACCCCTCTCCCCACAGGGTTTGTGCGCTCTCTCGGCCGCTTGCCGCCATAGGCAGTGTGGCTGACAGGGGCCCAAACTAGTTTGAACAAAGACTCTCTGCTTTTGCTTCGGACTCAGCTGGCTCCCTGGTGGTGGTCTTTTGGGGATCTTGAAATCTGGGCATAACACACTGACCTGTTAGGAATTCCAGGGAGGGTCCAGTATCTGTGTCACCATCTACCTCATGCATGCATTGGCTCCTGGACCTTCCTCCGACCTAACACTCCCCTATTCTCTCTCCATAGCCATGTGGCCTTACGCAGTCCCATGGCCCATCCTGTGCTGACCCCACACACAGTGGACCCAGCTGGGAACACAGCTAAGCCAGCCAGATGCTGACTGGACTGGACCTTAACTTGGAACAAAAATTCTGGGCAGTGGCCTTGGTCCTAGCCCTGATGAAGGCAAGAATGAACTTGTTCCATGGAAGATGGACAGAGATGGGACCTTGGAGAGCAACCCCTTAATTTTACATCATCAATAAAGCTCTCCACTCCATAAAACTCTATCCTCCTATGGGGACCTCAGGAAATTCTTTTCCTCGTGGCATCTCAAGAGCCCCACTTCCACTTATAACAGTATTTTCTTATTCACCCCCTGGCTCCTGGTTAGAACTTACCAGTTGTATATTGTCTTGTCTTATAGAGAAAGGCTCCAATGGGTTGAGCTCCTTCCAATCTCCAGAGTGCCTGAGGTCAGACAAAATCCAGAGAACAGAGAAGTGCAACTCCACTGGTCGTGTTTTCTTCCCACCAGCAGGTCCCGACTCAAGTTCCAGGGCAATACCCTGTAACAAGCAGCAGATGAGGCCCTCGCCTCCTCCAGACCAGGTCTGGGGCTGAGCTCTGGACCAGTCTTACCTCTCAAGTCCTTCTCAGCTGAGTGGAGACTAGAATCAGGCAGGGTTTCTATATAGACTGTATCTGCCAGGCTGTCTCACAGCACAATAGATAGTGACAGATCCTCCCTTCCCCCAACTGGTGGGTGGAGTATGACGTAACCTGTAGTCCAGAAATCCCTGAGTCACTAAGCATGTTGTTATGTCGGAGAGAGCCCAGGATCAGATACATGCAGACATGTGATGAGATAATGGACCTCCCAGGAATTTCTAACAGATCAGAGTGCCAGACACAGATACTGGCTTCTCCCTGAATCCACAACGACCCCCACACAGATACTGACTCCTTCCTGAATACCCTGCAGACCCCCTGTGGCAGAAACTTCCTCAGTTCATGTCCCCGCCCCTCACCCAACCACAGTATAAAAAAAGCACTCCCCTCCCTGTTGGCGTGAACCCACGGGTCCTGTCTTTGGGGTTCGTGGGTTGCCCGGGGACGCAGAATAAAACCTTTCCTTTCCTTTCTTTTCTGATTGACTCGGCTCTCTTGATTTTTCTACGCCGCCTCCTGAGCCACCTAAGCTAACATTTGGTGCCGAACCCGGGTGGCATGAGCACCCCATTTGGCCATTCCTCCACGGCTCAGGGTGCCCGCCTCTCCTTCCTCGTGGCCCAGAACCCATCAGGACCTCATCTCTTCAGCTTGGTAGCCTTTCCTGGTGGCAGCATTAGTGGTGAGTCCCGCCCTGCCCCCGTGCCAGTCCCACGTGGCTGCTCGCCCACCCGCGTCTCTGTCCGTAAAATGTGGCCGCGTCAGAAATTGCCTTTTCCGGACCCTTCCAGGAAGGGTCCTCCAGACCTCGGGAGGTAGTGGAGACATCCCTACCTCCCCCGGTCCCTCCATCTGTTCATAGCTGGGGTCAAATCACTAGGACGCTGGCCTTTGGCCTCCGCTACAGGCCACAGGTATCGAGCACGGGGAATCCAAATTCCAAACCTGACCTGAGCACAACTCTAGGGTG